TGTTGCTTAAATACTAAAGGCCCTAAACTGTAAATGGCAAGGGAATTTTGCATTTAGCAGTATTTAAAAAGAGTACATTAAAGTGCACATAACAACAACAACAACAACAACATTAAAGTGCAACTACTGGTCTCTTCCCATCTATAGCAAAGAAGAGTGAAGAAAATCAAGGACCTAAAGAAACAATTAGTCTAGAAGACTAATGGAGAATGCTAATCCATGACCATGAGACCATAAGAACTAGATGGTTCCCAGCTACAACTGCTGACCTCTCTGAAAGGAATTGCAATAGGAGATCTTAGATAGAGTGGGAGAAATATGTAGAATGATACCCAAAATAATAATAATAAAAAAAAAGACCAGACTCACTGGTTTGACAGAGACTGATGGAACCCTTGAGACTATGGCCATTAGATACCTTTCAGGCCTGGAACTGACCTCACCATGACTAAACTTTCAGCCAGACAATAGATAAATCTATAAGGTGAAAAATAACACCAGAGACTTATACCTCTTAGAAAAATCAATCTTACAGAATCAAAAGGGCAGCATTTGCCCAGGGATAAATCTCAGAAAGCAAGAAGGGATAGGACCTTGCGGACACTGTAATCATTGTCACAAGACATAATGTGTATGAATTGGTGAATGGAAAACCAATTTGCTTTGTAAACTTCCACCCAAATCACAACCAAACGTTAATAAATAATAAATAGAATACAGTGAACAACATGTAATACTTGAGAATCAAGGTAAAATTTTAAATATGTAAATTATCCTGAATGCTATGACTCTGAAAGAACTGTGCTATATAAACTTGTTTTTTAAAGAACAAACAAAATTTTCACAAAAGGCTGAGCAAAGCCTCATAAAAAAGGATACATAATTTGTGATTGAAATAGTTTCTCAGTGTGTTTTAGATGTTGATATCAATAAAGGTTATTAAAATTTAGTCCATTCTTTCACTTTTTTTCCTTTCCTGTTAACATTTTATTAAATGAGCAGGAAGCAATGGTCTTTATCAGAATCATTAGTGAGACCTAGAAAGTAAGCATCACCCTGGAAGAAGTCTTGCTCCCTCTCCTGTCCTTCTTGTTTAAAGCAGGGCCATAATTCTGTGTGTACAAAAGTATTGAAATTTTCTCAAATGCTTTTACAATCCTGGGCAATTTGAGGTCTTTTTCAATTTCTATGTGTCTTACAGACTTGAATCCCAAATGACTACTGACATCCAGACCATCTTACAGCTGCTGCAGAAACAAACCACTGTGGTCCCGCCAGCCTACAACATGGTGACTGCAGGAGCCGAGAATCAGAGACCCGTCATCCGCCTGATGAGAGCCAGTCATCCCGGAGCATCCATTAAAACTGATAGAAGTTTCAGTCCTTCATCGAAAGTGAGTATAGATTTTGTCCTAACAGTCCAACCAAGAGTGTATCTCAGAGTGTGGTCCAAGGACCACCTGAATCAGAATCACCTATGGACTTGTGGAAAAAAGGATTCTCATCTATCTCCCTCTCTGTCTACTCAATTTGAACCTTTGGGGATGGGCCCTGTAATCTTCATTTTAAATAAGCTCATCACTGATTGTTATCCTCATTTAAAGCTTGAAAACAAAGGACCTAGGCAAATGATTTAAAACACTAGTAATTTTTTTCTTTTTAAGAAAAATCTCTTTTCAAGAATCCACCTATTTAAGTTTAAGTACAATAGAGTTTAGAAAGCTAGGGAATTGTCCTGAGTCCAGAAATGCTTCAGAGAAAAATCTCTAATTTGTTATAATGACAAAAGACTGGCTAGGGTCTCAGGAATTAAACCAAACCAAACCCATTGCTACTGAGTCGATTCTGACTCATAGTGAACCTATAGGACAAAGTAGAACTGCCCCAAGGGTTTCCTAGACTGTACATCTTTACTGAAGCTGACTGCCTCATCTTTCTCCCATGGAGTGGCTGGAGGATTCAAACCACCGACCTTTTTGTTAGCAGCCCAATGCTTTCCACCATAGCATCACCAGAACTCCTCTCAGGAACCTAGGGGAAGAGAAATAGCAGTTGTCTAGAAAAGACCTGAGGTTCAAGTGCAATCAAACTAGTAATTGCCTCTCTGTCCTGCCCATCACCAGGATTCTCCAATCTCGTTTCATCTGGATAATGGAAATGGTAAGAGGAGGAATGTACAGAGTCCTTTGCCATGTCTCTGAAGCCCTTTTAAGGGTCTTATTGAATTATATTAATATGTCTAAATCCTTTGGAATTCTATCTTAGGAAGTAGTCTTAGCTCCTTAAACATTATAGTAAAATTGGACCTAAGAACAGAAATTTATAGAATGATCTTGTAAACTTGTTTTTAGATTGTGAGAAATTTAGTTCAAATGGTCTAGAAATTAAACTACATTACTTACAGGAATTAACATGCCAGAGGGCAGATAATGCAATCTTTCTAAAATACAAGAGTAGAAAGTAATTTGCTTCTAATTAATTTTATGGCTGTAACGTATGCAAAACCATGCAGTGCATTCTGTATTTTCAGTGAATTTAGATAATTTATTTGGGTTGGGTAATTTTATTTCCTTTCTTTTTTCTTTTCTCCTCTGATCTCCCCAATCACCAAGTAGGAGTTCCTGGGTGGTGCAAACAGTTAACACTGGGATGCTAACTAAAAGGCTGGTGTTTTGAGTCTAACCAGAGGTGCCTTAGAAGAGCGATGGCAATCTACTTCCTAAAAATCAGTTGTTGAAAATACTAGGGAGCGCAATTCATTTAGCAATATCTAAATTGATAGCCTACCTCCAATTTCTTGACTCATTTTTTGGGAGGTGCCACTCCTGAAATATAGATCAATGGTGAAAGAAAGCTCATTTAGACTTCATGAGAGTAATTGTAGATGACTGCCAAAGTGAATCATAAATATGTGTTTTCTTTTCTTTCTATCAGTGTCCTGAATTTCTAGACCTTGAAAAATCTAAACTTAAATCCAAAGAATCCCTCTCAAGTGGGGTACATCTGAACACAGCTTCGGAAGACAACTTGACTTCACTTTTAAAACAAGACAGTGATGTCTCTTTAGAGCTTCACCCGAGGCAAAGAAAAACTTATCTTCATCCCATTAGGCATCCATCTTTGCCTGAATCATCCCTCAGCACTGTAGGAATCTTGGGTCTTCATAGGCATGTTTCTGATCCTGGTCTTCCAGGGAAGTAATCATTTTGTACTATTTACTCCACATACAATGTAAGTGCTTTTAATGGCTGTTTTCTTTTTTGTATTTAAATCCTCTCTACTTGACTCAGGGGCTCACAAGTTACCATTATATGCAAAAGTACTGTATATTTTCCTAAAATGAAGCTTGTAAGGTAAAATTGAGCAGTTAGGATGTAAATATACATAAGAACTTTTTGTCCCAAATGTTAAAACTGCCAGCATCTCAAGGCACCTTATTTTTTACCTTTATTTTTTAAACCATTTGCATGTTAGGAAACTCCAATTTCTCTTGCAAGGAGACTCCTATTTACTGCTTTTACTAAACCAGTACTTTTTGTTATGAAAATGCCTTCCAAGCAAATAAGAAACTAAGGGATAAAACTGTTCATGGATACAATTCAGATGATCCTCAACTAATGCAAGCTCAAAAGGACTCTTAAAGTCACTTTTGAGAATGGATACCCTTCTCCATCAAGACGTTTATATTATTTACATTAATTCTGCCACACAGAAAAAAAAAAAAAAGCAAGGTTTGAATTATAACTCTCTGACAGCATAGGAAGCCATCCCCAAATGCATGAACATAGGCCAGCATTAATGAGGACAAAAGAAAGGCCTTTCTGTTTAAAATTCTGCACTAACTGCATTCATAAACAACCTAAAATATTTTCCACTGGCATATTTCTTTCAATGCTTAGAAACAAGTATTTCTAATTTTGCTTTTTTTGTGGGGAGGGGAAGAGAAAGACAAACTCCTCTTAAGAGCTGCTAAAATGTAGCCGACACATACTTATGTCCACAGTATTCTTCAGATTCATATTTTAGGGCAATACTGAATTTGATCTAAAGAATGGAAGCACTTTTTTTTTTTTTCCTAAAGAATGTGCAATTTTAGTGGAATTGAACAGGAAAACTAGCTTCCATGACGTGTATGTTGTTCTCTGGCTTTCTTTCTAATCCCAGCTACAGACAAAAAATGTGTAGTTAGCTGCCTAGGAAGGAAATGCAGTCATCAGCAGAAAAATTTCAGGGTGTTCTGGGGTTATTCAAACACTTGCTAATCAATAATTGAGTCAAAATCTATTATATATGGGATGGACTAAATATATATTGACCCCAGAATATCATAACCTACGGTGGAATATATTTTAATATGTATCATTAACTATTAGAGTTTGGCATATGCCTTCTCTCATAAAAGCAGGATATAGGAAAAAGTGTAAGTTAAAGATTCTGAGTAGTAGAATTTGTTATGCAATTTTGTTTGTCAACTTAAGTACAAATTTTAAATTATTACAGCCTGATCCATTATATTCTTTCCTACTAGAACAAAAATTTTAAAATTGGTTCAAAGTTTTTTAGTCTTTACTAATTCTTCAATTCACATATACTTTTAAAGAAACATTATATCTGTGTAGATAATTAAGCGGATTCATTTCTATACCTCCCACAGAGAAATTCCATCTTACTGACTTACCTTTGACATTATTAGTTAGCTTTAAGTACATGCAATTTATTTTAATCCACAAAACTGTTGCACTATTTAAATATGATTAATTGACCTTAAATTGCTCCCTATATTTTTAAATAGTCATATACATTGATAATCTGTGTGGGAGGCAAGCTGTAGGTATGAGCATGTTCTTCTCCCTGTTTAATGTTTGAAAAACTAAAGCATAAGTGATAAAGTACATACAACAAAATGACTAATCAATTGAATAAAAGGATAAATAATAAATAGCCAGCTACATAAGCTGTTTGGTGTTACACAGACTTAGAGATTGCTTTCACTTCCTCATTTAACAAACATTTAATGAGCTTAGCACTGTGTTACAAACTGGATCTAGCAGGGGAGACAGAACCACAGCAATGGCTAACTGGTTCAGAGGGCTCATTAGGGATTTTATTTCCATATTTGGGCATTTTTTGCAGCTGCAACAAATTTAATAAGGATTCAGGCAAATTCAGAATGAATTCACCAGAGATCGTTCATTTATAGAGAGGATTTGGCAGGTGAGAAATTTAGATCTGATTGTTTTATTAGTGAATGCTTCAGCTGCAACATTTGGTATGACATGCATAAAATTCGACTTTCCACATAAAACCTCTACTTATATTTCTTTATAAAAAGTTAGCATGAAGCAATGGGAAGATGGAAATTGTGTGCAAGCATCCAGCTTGTTTAAATTCTAGCATAGCACAAGCCTTTTTCTTCTTAATTCGTCGACATAAAGTAATTGCTTGATTTTAAAAACTTAGTCTCATAGAGTCAGGCAGGATTAGGAAAGTCCCCTCCTACAGGGTATTAGCTTAAAGAACCTGAGCAATGTAAGGATGTGGTGGTTGTGTACCATCAAGTCGGTTCTGACTCATAGTGACAGACGCTGTATGGCAGACTAGAACCGCCCCGTTTCCTAGCTTGTGATCTTTATAAGAACAGATTGCCAGGTCTTTTCTCCCATGGATAGTTGATAGATTTGAACCACCGACTTTTCAGTTAGCAGCTGAGTGCTTAAACACTGTGCCACCAGTGCTTCTTAAAAAATGTGGTTTAAAAAATATATATTGCCCATATAGATGAGGCACAAACATCAGAAGACTCAATGGCTAAACTGGCTTCTAGATAGCCTAAGTAATTATCTTAATGTACAAAATGCATACTTTTGCCCCAACCAGACACCTAATACATAAAAGCAGACAGTCAACTTCCCCACTGTCGTTGTTGTTGTTATGTGCCCGAGTTGGACCCTACTCATAGCGACCCCTCCTTGGGTTTCTGTAGCAAAAAGAGTCTGGCCTCTCCATGTTGGGATCCCACTGAGGACCAGATCTAACTGCTGCAACCAATCATAATAGCAGTGTAGCAACTGTTTCCTTCTTCTAGTTAATTAGAAGCATTAACACAATTTGCTTTCCTCCTAAAGTTTTACCTGTTGCCTTGGCCAAAAAAATATCATCTGGAATCTAAGTTTTCTTTGGATTAGATGTTTTCCTGATGTTATTAAGTGCTGGGAAGAGAGCTGAAATCTATACATCTCATTTTATCCCATAAGGGAGTCTTATACATTAATTAGTTATTAAGAAAAGTAGGAATAAAAAATGCCGAATGTTCTTGTAGACTTTGTAAATTAATAATCACTCATTCACCAAACATCAGAAATCAGGGGACAGATTTGGAATAGCCTAATTTCTTAAACTCGTTATAATGAGCTGTTCATCAGGATTGAACTTTCCAACTCTTCTAGACAGGACATAGGGAAACTAAGTCAGGCCATGGTGACATTTGGACTCAGGTTTAATATGCATGTATAAATAAGGATTGCATATAAGGTCTTTCAGGGGAGTTGAACTTTGGCAGTGGTTCCAAAATACCTAACAGGATAATGTCCTTATCCAAATGTCATTTTAAAATCCCATCATATATTAGCTAAGCTTAAAATATATCACCTCATCAGCATATCTAAAATATTATTAATTAATAATAATATCTTTCCTCTAGATGCTTTTAATGGCTTCTTCAAAATGATCTAGTTATTAAAATTGAATTGCAAAATTAGCATTGCAAAATTTAACATAGCAGACTAGCCATGGTTGAAATAAAAATTAGATTAATACCTTCAAGCAGATTTCTTATTACAATGTAAGTTTTATAAGTTATAGAGCTCTGGTAGCATAGTGCCTAAAGCACTTGACTGCTAACCAGAAGGCTGGCGGTTCAAACCCACCAGCCACTCCTCAGAAGGAAGATGGGGCAATCTACTTCCATAGTGATACTGCCTCAGAAACCCAAGGAGGGGTCACTATGAGTCGGGTCCACCTCGACAGCATATAACAACAACAACATCAATCATATTTTTACAGTAAAACAAATGTGTCTATCATGTGAATGTAGACATTATGTCTTGGAAGACAGCATGATGGGGAACAGGTATCCTCAAAGTGTGGTCCCTTAACTAGTAGCATCACCATCACCTGGGAACTGTTAGAAATGCAAATTCTTGGGCCTTATCTAGACCCACTAAATCAGAAACTCCAGGATTAGGGCTCAGCCACCGTCTTTGATAAGCATCGTCCGTAGGATTCTGATGCACACCCCAAATCTGTGAATAACTAGTGCAGAAGTGCAAGTATAGGCTGTGCCATCAGATTGACTTAGGTCCAACCTGAGTTCTTCCATTAACACCTGTGTGATCCTGAGCAAGTTAATTAAATTCCCTGAGTTTTTTTCCCTTGAATTTGTAAAGTTGAGAATGGCACCTGCCTCACAGAAGCCTAAGGAGAAAAAGAGATAACATAAAGTGACCGGCACAGAGCAGGTGCCCCAAAAATACTAGATTCTTTTGTTTCTCATCCAGGAACATGACATATAAAAACAATCAAGGAAACAAATAATTTTTCACAATTTAGCTTTTGCCCAATGTGTTGTTTCTAATTAAACAACTTTGCCAAGACTAATTTTTTGATTCCGAAAAATCCTAGTGTAGCTATTGTTTTGTCTCTCTTAATTATATTTTGTAGTATTAGGTTTATAGCTTTAAATAATACTTATTATATAATAATAGTGGTAACAATGAATCTCATTGTTACAAACATACCTGCTCTGAATCCATGATACACACCAACTATGCAAATCTGATCTGTCAAATTCAGCGCTTTGAGAACATATTCTGTAAACGCTGGCTCTCTGTGGAACCCTCTCTCTAGATCCATGATGTAGTTCCAAGTGTGTATTTGAAAATATATTTTCAAAATATGATTTTTACCATAAATACAATATTATTTATAAAAAATAGAGTTTTACTGTTTCAATAGCTCTTTTCAGGTGCCTGGGCCCACTCCCTCTCTCAGTGCAAGGATACCTTACACAGATCTTACTTAGACTGCCTTAGTGTGAAACAGTGGAAATAGCAAGGACTTGGTGTGGTGAACCTGATTTCCAGTCTTTCCTTCTCCACTTACTCCTGACATTTAAAACCTTAGTGAGCCCCAGTTCCCTAAACTATAAAAAAGGACATAACATCTTACATACCTTGAAGGGGTATGTTGAGGATCCTGTGAAATATATATAAAGAAATGTTTTGTAAACCATAAAGCATCATAAGATTGTAAATCATCATGTAACTTGTGCATCATCACAAAGATAATGGTGTTACAGTGGTATTGGTGCACTATTTGGGTCTTCTGAAAAACACACAGTAGATCTTTCCTCTAACCAACACTGACCCCATTTACTCTCTGTGACAAAAATCTACAAAGTGATTTTCACACACCTCTCAAAGATCAGTTTCCATAACACCAAAAGCAGCAAAACACCAGTATTAGCAAAGCTTCCTCTGCTGTAACACCCTGATACTTGTTAAATACCGCCTTAATCCAACATCATAAAATCACATATTGCATTGCAATTATTTTCTAGGTGTGCCATAGTGTCCCTACTCCTCCTTTTCCTCAAGTGTTCACATTCAAAGTGATTATCATTTGATTCTAGTTAACTTATAATGAAGCGATGGTAATCTTTTAAAAACTAAAAGGATCTTGCTTTTAAGTGTTTTATAAAGTCTTACGCACTGTCATAGATCAGTACCCAAGCTTAGAATAATTTAACACATGTACTTGTGGTGAAAATAGATTTTGCTTTAAGAAAATCCAATATAGAAAATTCACAGAAAGATATGAATTATTAATAACTGACAACAGGAAAAGGAATTATCCCAGGGTTTATTTACATAAGCTATTAAGTGGAAACTGAGAGAGCTAATTAACATAAACTGCTTTAATGCTAACAAGTTATTACAATGAATAGAAGCCTAAAACATTATAGAAATGCAGTGGTAAGAGCACAGAACCATACAATGAACCAATTTCATTGTTAAACTAATAATAATCAAATTCTTAAATGAGTATAGAAAGAATTGTTAAAGAACTCTCAATAATTTTTTCATTATGAAAAGTGGCAATATTAACGTGGTTATTCATGAAAAATTAATGTCAAAAATTAGACGAATCCCTAAATTGTAGTTATGACATCTGTGATTTCTTTCAGTTAATTTGAATTTTGAGAGATGTGACATGATTTGGTACATTGCATTTTAAAACATTTTACATTTAACCTGCATTCTTTGTACTTCCTCTGTGTGAATACACCTTCATGTAAAAAAGTCATGGGGCTATAATTTGCTTTTTAATTCCAAAATAATGTCACTGTTTTAAATGGAAATAATCACAATTATCAGCATTTTCATTGTTTCTTTTTCTTTTTTGTAGTGATATATACTACTTGAATTATTGAGCATATAAGAAAATTCTAAACAATTTCCATCATCCTTTTTTTATTTAAGAGTAAAATTCAAGGATCTGTCATCTTATAAGCAACTTCTTCACACAGCCTCAACAAAATTACAATAGCATTAAAATAGTATGGTGCCCTACTTCCAAATAGCAAAGAAATACAGTACTGAACAATCTCTAGTTTTGGGGTATTTTTAAATTTATTTATCGCCTAGGGATCTACTGATTTTAATACAAGGTACAATGCTTTTTTTTTTTTTTTTTAGCTGAAATTGGCATTTTATAATTTTCATAGAAAAAACATATCAAAATGTTTACCAGTTAAATATTTCAAAAAAAAAAAAAAGTGTGATAACCTGAAAATGTCAGTCATCTGATATAAATAAGAAACTTACTCATGTTGGTTAAGTAGTAAGTACCTTGGAATGCTTTAAACATGATGAAACAATCTACCAAAACACATACTACTCCCTAGTCTTTATTCACACAATGTAGCATGAAACCATGATGCTTTTGAAACTCTGTGCAGAAATATTTATTTTTTTGCAACTATTTTCTTCAAAGATTGGTATGTGGTATTGACAGTGTAATCTACTTGCACAACTAGTTTTGCAATAATGTTCTACAAATAACTGTAAATAAGAAAAATGTAAATTTCATGTAACAATGATTGCAATCTTTTGGTAGCTAAAAGAAGTGTACAAGTTGTATTGAAAATATAGAATATATACATTATTTAAGAATGAAATATATAATTTCTGATCTATTTATACATGAAAAATCAAGAATTTGTAAAAAAATTATTTTGGGAACAAAGGAAGTAAATCTCATTAGCTAGTTAGGATACTTTTATTAGAGAAGCCAACTATTTCCAACATTTTAGGTACAGTACTAAATATAGGCATGGTGGTGCTGATGTATTTCATGAAATCATGTAATTCTAACAGTGCTCCTGTTTTACTGGGTTTCATCAGAACTCTAGCAAGCCGGACTGAGTGGTAAAAAAGCACTACACAGAAAATTAAGGAAGCATAAAAACATTTCACTTTTTATTGCTGCAAGTTAAGAACACGAAACATTTACTAAAACATTTTCTGTTTGGTTACTTAAAATTTCTCGTGGCTAAACAGACTTTAACTTTTTTAACTTATATACAGAACAACTTATATGTTTGATTCATTTTTTCCTTTTACCAAGAATGAAAATGTCCAGATAATAATTATTTTCACTTGCCTGAGTTTCACACATTTTTAATTCATTCCCTAGAATTGTTTATGTATTCTTTAAGAAAAAAAATTATCTTCAAAGAAAAGTTTTTAAGAAAATTTGGTCGTCAGAATGTGGCATGTTCTAACGTAAAGACTGTTTAGTTGAGTTAGTGGTTTAGATTCCACACCTTCATTTTTAATGGAAAAAATATTAAACCCCCATGAGAGTATATTTCCCTGTATGATAAATGAAAAAAACAAATACAGATTATCTGAAAGAAATGTATCTAAAGCAAGGCTGATTACAAAATGAGAACCTAAGTATGAAAAAGCTGAACATTAAAAAGCTTTTTCAATGTTATCTTGCTATCAGCTCAACTGGGGTGTAGGGGTTGGTTCAGTAGCTATGTGAAATAAAATATGCATCTAAGAGTTCAATTAAGACAAAGATCATTTTTAAATGGGTTATAATTTTTCAGAAAGGAGCCCTGGTGGCATAGTGGTTAAAAGTGCTCTGCTGCTAACCCAAATGTTGGCTGTCAGTCATCCCAGAGGAGAAAGATGTGTCAATCTGTCCATAAAGATTTACAGCCTTGGAAACTCTATGGGACAGTTCTACTCTGTCCAATAGGGTCACTATGAGTTGGAACTGACTAGTGGCCGTGAGTTTTAATTTTTAGAAGAAAATGGATCTTTAATATGTTTATGGACCATAAATTCTTGCACTGTTCATATTATCCTTTGAATTTTCAATAATCATAGCAAGAAAAACTGTGATCAGAAATACAATCAATTGGCATATAAATGACTATGTATGTAAATTTAAAGTGCATATTTATATTCTATGCCTAAGGGAAAAGCCCAAAGTCCCTCCAAAATATATCAGAAGAGGGAACTGGTCATTCCTGGCATATGTTGTGTCTGAACATAGCTATTAAATGATGCCCTAGACCAATTCTTCTCACTCCTGATAGCTTTCCAAATTGCCACCATCTCTGAGGCTGCAGAAAGGGCACACCTGAAAACATAAGCAGCACATAAGCAAGGACCCTTGTCCTTCTCTAAGTGTGTGCTACAGCCCAGCAATGCAGAAGTGGTGCCAGTGTCTACTTACTATATATACATACGTACAGAAGCACACCTGCATTTTAAATGCTCACAAAACAATACACAAAGCTACACATTACCAAGGTACTTGGATAAAAGGAATGTTCCGTAATATAAGGCTCTTTTCTTCATATGCCACTAAAATATATTTTTAAAAACAAGTAGAAAAAAATGTGACAAATAAAGATGAAAAGCACAGAATTCCCAGTTTTCAAATAATGAGCTGACACAAACACAGACCAACTTTTCAAATCCAGTGTTTTGCTGGAAGTAGTTTTGTGCTCAGTATTCTAAACCACAGGAAAATGTTCATTTAATGTATAGACATGTGTGATGGTATGATCTTATTCTAGACTACAAATCAACTCAGCACTCTTCATTTACTATTCTGTCTGTACTCATCACTCTAATAACAGAGAAGCTCTAAATACTTTTTTTTCTCTGTATCTTTTAATATTTACAAACTGTAGACAAACTCTTAGGTGATCCTTTAGCAGTGTACACTTATTTGGAAGTGTGCATTAATTCACTAGGTAAGTGATGAAGCCAAAGGCTTTTTGATCTTACAATACAAGTTTCAAATTAATAAAACACCCATGGTGACAATTTAAAATTTAAGAGAAAAGAAAAATATGCTAACCTGAAAGAAGCCTTTGATTTTACTCACCAGATATATCAGATTTTGACAAAATTTATTCCTATTAGCTTACCAGAAAACTACTAAAAAGAAATAGAAGAAAACATACCATTTACAAGTTTGTTAAAGATACAAGGACAAAGAAAAGCACATCTCTGACAAATAGTATTTATTATGTTTGTCCATTTTAGGAATACCATGCACATTACAGTCAATTTGATTAATATATTTTACTTAAATAATTACAAACTGATTTTGTTGTTGTTGTTCTTAATTACACAGACTTTAAAATGTATTAGTATATTCTACTTTCTTCCAGGGTAAATGCCTTTTCTGAAATTTAACATATCAATTGACTGTATATTTTTTTCTATTACTTTTTTGCTGAATACAGCTTTAAATAGATTAAATGAGCATAATCCTTTAAAGTACATTTAAAGTGAAACAAATTAAGATTGCCCACCATATTGATTTCTCCTTGTTGTAATTAAAATGTGTAAACTGCCACTCAAAATAGAAGTGCAATATCTGACATTTAGTCATCTGGCAAAGATTTAGACTTAGGTGAATCACTGCACTGTTATTTGAACTGAAGCATCTCATAATATGTATGTAATAGATTTTGTATAATACAAAAACTTTACAGCAAGCTATTTGAATGTTTATTAAAAAATTCTCAAAATGACATGGAAACTTGTTTACTGTATAAATAAAAGCGCTTATACATTAAAAGTGTACATTATTCTGTACTTTAAAATATCATAAGAAATATCCTAAGGGCCTCAGTTTAACCAGTATAAGGTACCACACTATCTTCATATTCCAGTAGTGTCTGTCACAAAGCTATTTAATCTTTACTTTAGTAAAGGATGTATGTATCCCTTGTTTTAAAAGCACCAAGAGAATGAATTGCTTTTCAGTATAAAAATACTGATAAAATTATTCTCTATGCTAATGTTTTTTTATAAAATTGTTTCTTTAACATAGAGCGCAAAAGAGATGGATGAGCATGTAATAATAGTTCTACTAAAGAAAGGGGTTCTGTGGTCAAAAAGTTTTGACAAAAACTGGGTCAACTTTATTTACCTTAGGCTTTCATATACATTATCAAGCTCCAAGAGGAAGGTTAGGAAGGTGAGTTTCCCAAATATATTTGGCCATGAAAACACCTTCTTCACAGATCTCCTGTGATCAAAGTTCATAGGAACGTCCTTTGGAAAAGGAATAAGTTAGAGACTTGTGTAAAGAAGGCTAACACAAAGTGTCATTTGGCAAAAATGTGCATGAGTAGTATCATATGTCTTTTGTAAAGTATGAGCTTTTTGTAAAGCTCCTCAACAATAAGCTTCCAAATAAGGGTGATTATTATAGTTAACCTGACAATAGTCTAGCAACTGCACTGTCTTTAACCTGGATGTTAGAATTTCAGTTTGATGAATCACATTATCACCCTTATTCAACCTGAAGGACGTACAGTGTGGTTAATGTTTACTTTTTCCTACAATACTTCCAACTAAGAGTCAGTATTTTTTATTGCTAAATGTCTTCTCACATTATTAAATACATGTTCGTGAAAAAAAATTAAGAGTTAAAGGAAAAATTTATTTACTCGCACATTCTAATAAAACTGACCAAGTGAATTTTACAGCCAATTACAGAAAATTATCAATGCCAAAATGGCTATATCTTACTTCTTTCCAGGGTTTATAAAAGTGAAAGTTGGCTTAAAATTGTCTAAGCATTATAAAAATACACTCCCCAACATCTTGCTATACCCCCTCCATCCTTTAAGAAACATGGAGTTATAAACACTATTAATTTGATCACCAGCCATATGAAAACCATGGAACTTTGTGTTCACCTTTGTTGTTGTTGTTATGTGCCGTTAAGTTGGACCCGACTCGTAGCGACCCCTCCTTGGGTTTCTGAAGCAGTATCACTATGGAAGTAGATTGCCCCATCTTACTTCCGAGGAGTGACTGCTGGGTTTGAACCTCCAGCCTTCTGGTTAGCAGTCAAGTGCTTTAGGCACTATGCTACCAGAGCTTTAGGCTAAAAGATATTCAATTAAAGTATATATATATATAAAAAAAAAAAAATGTGGCTTATTAAAATTTCATTAAGAAAGACTTACAATATTTGCCAAGAAAGGCACTGAATTAATAAACACAGCACCTGAACTTTACTTTCCAATTTACTCAGTAATAAAAAAAAAAAAACTCACTCAGTAATGTTACTGTACCATGGAGTCCCAGGTGATGCAGATGATTAAGTGCTCGACTACCAGCCAAAAGGATGACTGAACCCACCCAGAGGCACCCCAGATGATAAACCTGGCGTTCTGCTTCCGAAAGGTCAGTCTTGAAACCCCTCTGGAGCAGTCCTACTCTGTACAAATGGGGTCATTATGAGTCTGAATCAACTTCATGGCAACTAGCAACCATGGCCACCTGCTCTGTGCCCCAGCTTACACAGATCTACTCAGAATACTTGTTGGTTTAATAATCAACAAAACCACCAGCCATTGTCTTCATAAAAGCCAAATTTCTTATTTTTGAACACTTAAAGTGGTAGATTGATTACTTTAACTTTGTAAACAGTTGGCATTAGATATAAACAACTATTTAACAGAACAAATTTAATTCTTGACATTCCATTAAAAATATGTTTCCTTTCCAGAAAATTTAGATTTAGAGAAAGATCCACTTTAGGTTATCTATGTAGGAAAACTGTTAATTATTCAAAAACTTGTTTTCACAGAAGACAATAAAAATAATGAAGATAAATGTACACTGTAAAAAAAAGGAAAAGCAATGCCTCCTATAGTCTTATTTCACTATAGATTAATTTATGATCCACCTAAGGTGAATTAAAGGAGTCTTGGTGGTACAGTGGTTAAGTACTTGGCTGCTAACTGAATTGTCAGCTGGTTCGAACCCACCAGCCACTCCATGGGAGAAAGATGTGGCAGTTTGCTTCTATATAGATTTTCAGCCTTGGAAACCGTATGGGGGCATTTCTACTCTGTCCTTTGGGGTCATAATAAGTCAGAATCAACTTGATGGCAGTGAATTTTTGGGTTTATTAGTACAAGTTTTTAGGAACTATGATTTTTTTCTTCATAAGCAAAGATTCATGAAGTTCTATTCTTTGATTACGTAATGAAGGATAAACCCTCGTACAAATAATGCATAAAATCCAAGTTTCCCCTTCTAGCTAGCCCCCAAACACCAACAACTACAATAAAATCTGAAAGTATAATATATAAGCTTCAAAAAAAAGAAAACCAAACCCACTGTCATCAAGACAATTCTGATTTATAGTGACCCATCAGGACAGAGTAGAACTGCCTAATCAGGTTTCCAAGGCTGTAAATCTTTATGGAAGCAGACTGCCTATTCTTTCTCCCATGAAGTGGCTGGTGGGTTTGAACCACTGACCTGTTGGTTAGCAGCCAATGCTTTAACCACTATACCACCAGAGCTCCTGATGTAAGTTCCACATAAGTATAAATTAGTTCTATCAAGGTTTTCATTGCCTGGCTTCTTATACAATCTGTCTTGTAAGTATATTCCTCTAAGCTTATATTGATAAAAGTTAAGGCTAAGAAATATTTACATCAATTAATTATAGAGCAATATTTTATGGCATTAAATAGATACTTTTCTAAAAGCAACAATATCCCAAAAAAAAGACATCTTTTTTATTGCTTGAACTGTGCGCTAAGGTAAAAATAGATATAGAGAAGTGGTTTAACAGGTAGGAACACAGAAAAGCCCCAAAAGCTTTAATTTAAAGTAGTCCAGTTCTGTTCTTCCATGCAGAAGAATTCACAATATTTCTTTAGCTTTCAAATTCTAGACATTCAAATTGCCATAGTGCCCTGCAAAAACTAAAACAAGGAAAATCATCATCTAGCAATAATAGAATGATTTTTCACTATTTGATTAATTATATTCCAGGGAAGCATTTTCAGAAGTTTCCAAGACTTGCAACTCAAATACTGGTTTGAACATACTAGTAAGGTAATGTTGAGCCTGTATTTTCCATCTACAAATATAACAAAAACAAAACAACAACAAAACCTACAACATTAAAGCAAATGTGAAATATAACTTTCCTATAACATCAATTAAAAAAAAAAACTAGAATTGGAATCAGGTTGATAGCAACCATCTGAAATAATAAATACCTTTATTATATTACAAATTAAAATTCTTTTCCCTCTTAAAGGATGTATCACCACAAGTAACTATTCTTTATAAAAGGAAGGGTATTGTTTTGCCATTAAAAATGATTTGGGATTTGGGTGAAGAGAAGGGCAATGTACCAAATGTGAGTGATCAATATAGTGGCATTGAGGAAGAGAAAGACAGAGAGAGGTACATGGGAAGTACAGACAACAAAGATGAACCCTTTTGCACATATA